CCGAAAAATACAGTAGGCCTCTTTTTCATAGCCAGGATTTACAAATTTTGGATCTCATTAGGAAATGATTGGTGTCACCTGCCAGTGAAAATTGTTATCACATCTTCAATTAGCCTTCTAAAAAGTGTCAAGCACTAGGAATTTGGTTTTGAAGAATGAAAATAAAATCAAAGCAATTAACCACTCTTAACTAGAAGTGTCCTCGGTTTTAAAAGGAATAAATTCTACACAGAGCCTGTAGCTTGTCTCAAATCCCAAATCAATGTATAAGTTTTAGAGGTTAATGGCAGACTACATACAGGTTCTGTGTGCCTATTTAGAACACTTCAAGCAATGGAGAAATTCAAAAAAGAACCAGGCTTGGGAATCCTGGGAACTGAAGTCAACATGTTTTAAAGTTCTCAAGACTGGGAAATACTACATTAAACTTGTATGGTGCCATGTTTAAGGTGCTTAACTAGAAACTAGCAATTCTTACTCTCCCTTAGTTAAAGAAATCAGATAGGTGTCTTTGGGCTAACTGCTTTCTTCTCAGCCCAACCCACCTCACAGGGTTGTTGTTGGGAGCAAGATTGATGTCAGCCCTTACAGGTGGACCAGATCATGAAATAAACTCTACAAGAAGACTAATATGACTTTTATTGGGAGCGGCTACAATAAAAGAATCTTATATAACTCTGATTAAGTTTTAACCCCCCTCCTTTACTTATAGTGAATGAGGGAGGTGTCCATCTGAACCCCTTCAGAATATTATCTGTTTATTGTGGATTTAAAAGCTGTTTTGCCCCTTGTCAACAGAACTGGCATAATTCTACCAACTCCCTCAAGGTCGTTTTCCTTACTTTCAACAATTGGTGAGCTGAGTTTTGACTTAATTGTTTCTGCTCCTGCATCTTCACCAGCAGGCATTTAATAAGCAGAAATAAAAGGCTTAGCGGCATAGAAATGTGTGAAGAAAACAACTTGATCTGCTTAATTTGTATGTGTCAAGCTGTAATTCAAAGCATAGAAAGGAGGACAAATACAAAGTTTTAAATTTAGCAACTCTATCAGAACAAATTAGAGAGAGTGAGAAAGAAAAGAACTGTGGGGGGTGCTTGTGTGCAAACGTGGAGGAGAAATTCTATTTATCTTTTGTATGGTAAGACTGCTTCATCAAAGACACGGGATTAGGTTCAATAGTCTTTACAAAACACCAGAGCAAATACGTAAGCAGCCCAGCAGATTTTGTGCTGGCAAAGGCAGACGGGAATTCTAAAAAGATGTACTATTTTGCAGAGAGATTGCAGGGAGGGAATCTTTAGTCTCCATCAGGGAAGGGTTTACAAGTTCAATCTGGGATAAACTGAAATAAGATTGGATAAGAACTCGGGTGACCTCAGACAAGCAGCCAGTCGTAATCGGATATTATTTAGCTCTTGTTTTTGCTTATATGTCAATTGGCCTTTTAATGTTCCCCAGATGTGTTCTTAGTAAATCCAGAGAATTCCTCAGAAGTTGCCTGGTGAGATAGACATTTCAGGAATTCTGCTCCCCATGTTCTGCTCTCAAACGATCTAAGCCCCAGAGCTCACTGTAGCAGCATTGCCAAAAAGTCATTAAGAGTTGTTAACCTAATTTTGCAAAGCTTCCTCTCCGGTAACATTGTACTGCTAATTAGGACGTACAAAACCTTTGCCAGACCAATTCTCGAATACAGCTCGTCTTCCTGGAATCCACACTGTACATTAATACGATTGACCAGATCCAGAGGACTTCACAAGAAGAGTACTCCAATCCTCTACTCACAATAGAATTCCCTATACCTCCGGACTTGAAATTTTGGGCTTGGACAATCTGGAACAGCCTGCGGTATGATCTAAGCACAGTACACAAAATTGTCTGTTACAACAACTTACCTGTCAACAACTTCTTCAGCTTCAACCACAATAATACACGGGCAAACAATCGATACAAACTCAAACTAAACCGCTCCAAACTCGATTGCAGAAAATACAACTTCAACAACAGAGTGGTCAGCGCCTGGAATGCTCTACCTGATTCCGTTGTTACGTCTTCTAACGCTCACAGCTTCAACCTTAAACTGTCTACTGTGGATCTTACCCCATTCCTAAGAGGTCCGTAAAGGGGGCGTGCATAAGCACACCAGTGTGCCTAACGACCCTGTCCTACTGTCCCCCTCTATTTGCAACCATTTCTTTCGTTTATATCCATGTGTATATTTACACCTGCTATCTTGTACATGTTTGACAAACTAATAAAAAAAAATACATTCTTGGAGGATGATTAGCTACAAAAGGCTCACAATAAAATTCACAAGATGAACCATTAACATTTAGTTTTTTATGATACCAGTCATTAGAGGGACCCCCACACTTAACAGCCCCCGGCCCTTTCAGTGGGATATAATTAAGAAGCAACAAGCCCAAGATTCTAAACAGATATGCTTCATCTTTTGACTGACATTGTCTTATGGATGAGCAAAAGAAAAACGGGAGCATCACAGATGGGTCAGCCTCCACATATTCTACCTTCTACCAGGATGAACAATGATAAATGGTGATGGGATATGTAATCCAACACTTGAAGGACTGTGACTGCCTGTCATGACTGCATCGTATAAAAACCAGATATTGGTAACCGGTTGCAAGAGAAAAGTTTCAAGGAACTAGCCCTAACTGATCAGCCTCCTTCAACATCAAGATTCAGTTTGGAAGATGAAAAGGGGTTGCTGAACAGGCTAAACCATATCACACCTTTCTTCCAAATGTACCCGATCACCATTTTGGAACACAGAATCCGCAAATCATGGTCTTCAGCACAGAAATAATTAGCAAGACTTATACCCATAATGTAATTATAGAACTGGCAATTTTGCTGGCTGGGAATTAAGAGAGTTGCAGTCCCATGCATATAAAAGATGCCAGGTTGAAGAGGTCTGCCATAAGTAAAAATACACAGATAAGTCTCCACGGATTCATTGATGATCTTCTACTTCAAGCATACGATATCTTAACTATTTGCCATCTAGTGAACATCTGGATTTTTGCAACCCAGTTATGGTACACTAGAGTTCCTATCACTCCACTCATATGGAGCTGGTTTCATTGTTAAATGCACAAGTCTACTTGATTTAGTAGTGCTAAACGAGATGCGAGAGACCTAAAGATCTCCAGAAGTTGGCCATACTATCATGAACTAATGACAACTCTAAGTCAATACTTCCATGATGACAGATTAACCAACTCAATTGAAAAGTAGTACATCTTTGAGTCCTCTAGATGTTTCTTTGAATAGCTGACCAACCCAAAAGCTCACAAAGCTATTCTGGGAACTCAACATACCAGAATAAGACAATGGCAAATCACTTGCGTAATGGTGCTGTGGAAACTACAGGTGATGCCAATGAACCCACTACAACAGTGTTTCTCAACCTTGGCCACTTGAAGATGTCTGGACTTCAACTCCCAGAATTCCCCAGCCAGCATTCACTGGGAATTGAAGTCCAGACATCTTCAAGTGGCCAAGGTTGAGAAACACTGCACTACAGGCTAAGCCTGACTGAAAGGCATCAGTTTTTAAGCAATGTGGTGCAGTAATTGTGCTAAATATGCATGAAAAAATTCCCAGTTTGAATCCCTACTCGGTCTCAAATCTCACTCCAAGAGCTGAGAAATTCTTACTCCTGTGTGAAAAACTGATGACACAGGGGTACAAAGCCAGCACCTCCTTCCCTGACTTTGCTATGCCTTGGGTTGCAAACAAGAACACGGGAACTAAATATAATTTAAAATAAAAATAAAAATATTTCCCTTGTACTTCATCTATGTTTGTAAACCATCATTTTCCTATAGTCACGCAATCTCTCTTTTTTCCACATTGCCTTTTATCTTCCTTTGCTCTTGTATTTACTTGTCCTTTTAGATTATTTCCTCAAGCATTACAATTTCCAAATAAGACAGGTATTTGCAAGCCTGATTACATTCAGAAACCTTATCCATGGGGAACCTTGTTTAGAGAATATGGGCCAATGAAGGACTAGGAGCAGGGATTAGATGCCAAGGGCAGGGCTCCTGGCTCTTCTACAACTCTGATAGGTAGGCCAGCAATTGCTGAGAATCAGTTGCTCCAGGTATTAACAGATTAACAGAGTTGGAAGGGAGCTTATAGGTCATCTAGTCCAACCTCCCGCTCAAGCAGGAGACCCTACACCGTTTCTGACAAATGACAGTCCAATCTCTTCTTGAAAGTCTCAAGTGATGAAGCCGCCACAACTTCTGAAGGCAACTCCTGTTCCATTGGTTGATTATTCTCACTGTCAGAAAGTTCCTCCTTATTTCTAGGTTGA